CAGCAGGAAAGGCCTCTCTCTGCTGTAACCCAACCCATGTACTTTCAAAGTGTTGCCATCTTCTGCAGACTTAAAGTGCCTCTGTGTCCCCAGCTGCACAGCCTGAGAGAGGTAGGACTGTTGCTGCCTGTCAGCCACCCAGGCAGTCAGTACTGGCAGGCCGTACTCTGTGCTCCTAAGTATGTAATAGATGTTTATGAGTTTTTTTTTTAATTCTTTGTATAGGTTCAAGGTGCAAGTTTCCGGGGTTGGAAGGAAGTGACGTCTATGTTCAATAAAGACGATGAACAGCAGTTGCTAGCAGGATGCAAGTCTCCAAAATCCAAAGGGTGAGTAAAACTGAGTAAGTGCTGTAGAATATTTTCAGTTTGTGTATTTTCTGTGCCAGATAGTGAAGGCAGAGACTGAAAAGCAACAGGGTTAACTGATTGAAAGCTGAAGCATGCAGAAAGGTTTATGTCCATTTCAAAATTATTTATGTTTTGAACTTACAGTGAATAATGCATGCTGTACTAGGAAGGACAGTTATTGAGGATCTTGCTGAGGATGGATCTTTTTTTTATGTGTCAGGAGGAGGAGGAAATTTAGCTGCATAGTAATTTTTTACTGCAGAGAAGAAGTAAAGGTTTCTGAATGAAAGTCTTCCCCTCCTACCCCTGAAGGTTAAATCATGGTCAAGTTTAGAAATTACTTTTTTTTACGTGCTTTAGTTCCTCTTTTGAGATGTTACCTACACCTAAAAGCGTTAAGCAATGTAGCCAGACCAGTATCTTCCCTGTTGGAGCTGAACTGTTTACTGCTGGTATAGTTAAAGCAATTTTCTGAACAGAATAGTCTATCCTAGGAAGAGGTCTGTTTTGCTGTTTTAACAGTACTACGTAGGATTTACCAACATAGTTACCTTGGTTACAAGTTGGAAAACATGTGCCGCCTATCAGTATAGCTGTGTGAGTGAAATGTGAGCTTTGATAAGACTTGCCTTAGTATATTGCATTTCCATTTCACATGAAGTATATATTTATGTATATATATATATATATATATATATATAAAAACATAAATTTAGAATATAAATATATAAAGAAGTTCCCAACTACAGTCTCTGTCCCATTGTATGGGTATTATTAAGACCCTAATCTGCTTTAAAAAAGCTTTGCAATTGATGCTGAAATATAAGAATAAAAGAACCCAGTTTAAGTTCAGACTCACCTGTTGATGCCGCTGTTTCTGTTGACCTGCTGTTCTCATCGCTTTTAACTTGTGGGAAGAGTACACATAATATGAAAACTGAATTGCCATAAATATGGAAAGCTATTTTAGTGCTACTATGAAAATTGTCTATAATTGAAAGTTCCCACTCCATAACAAATCCAATGATTTTTACTTTATTTCATTGTTAAAGAAAAATGCAACTTGTCAAGTGCACTAGCCACAAAATACAAGGAAAGCGTTTAGACTCTGTGATTGACTTTAAATAAATAAAAATTCTGAAAAATCTACCCTTAGCTTACAAATTCAGTTAAGGAGAAATCATATGAAGTTATTGGTTCAGTTATTTCTATTTAAATATAGTAATGTCAGGTTGCTTACTTTAAACTTTCCTTAATGAAAAAGAGCTCTTTCAATAGAAACATTAAAAAAAAAAACACTGAAATTTTCTGTTTTTTTGGTATGTGGTAAGGGAATTTATATGCTAGTAGCCGATAATGCTTTGAGTTTGCTGTTTAGCTTATTGAACCTTGAAGGTTGTGTGTGTCACCCTGGTATTCCATTTTTTCTTGTGTCTTGTTACCTGGTTACATATGTAAGCTTGTATATGAACTTACGCATAAACATTTGACATTCTGTATTTTAAATGCAGTGCACTGCAAATATGAATTAATTCAGATTGAGGGTTCTTAGTGGGGTAAGAATATTATGAATACTCTTTAAAATTCTCTCTCTTTGAGAGAGAAATTAGCGTAGATTACATACACAGGTTGTTTTTTCTTGTTTTTGGGTGGAGGGGGATGTTGTTCATTTGTTTTCATCAGAAATACAAAACAACTGTTGTCAAAATATCATGCAGAGCTTTCTTTAAGAAAAAAAGCTTGCATCCATAAAATAATATTGTGCATCAAATATTTTAGGGTGTAAGTTGAAACTTGGCAAGGTGATAACTGGTGTGAGGAACTGACAAAAGTAGTGAGTGAATGTTAAAGCTAGTGGCAGGCAAAATACTTCCATAATCCTTCTGCTATTCTGGGTTTGTTTTTTATTTTTCTTTTTTAAAGTCTTAAATTGCTCTAATGCATGCTAAAATACTTAGTGCACTTCTAAAGGCGGTTCTGTGTAATTCACTGGAAAAAAAAAAAAAGAAAAAAAAAGTTTATAACAGCAAATGGTCATATTCAGTCCACTTCTGTTTATCACTGCAACATTCTACTCTCTTTAGGCTCACAAATACAAGAAGTTTTTCCTGAGGTTGACAGTAATGGATCCTAGATGGGCTATCATAGAATGACCTGACTTTTTATTAGTGAACATGCAGACAAAGCTTTGGATAAAACTCAGATTTAAGATGCTGCTTTTCTGTTGAGCAAAATGTTAACGTTCCTTACTATGAAAATAGCCAATTAATTGAATTTTATTAATTTAACAGCCTATGTAATAGTCATTAAAAAATTATATTATTTGACAGTGAAATTCAGGAAATTTTAATAATTGCCTCATCATTGTTATTTTCTAGAACGAACCTAAAATTAAAGGACGAGATGAAGTCAGAAAAGAAGCCAGGTTTTTGGGACAGTTTGGTGATAAAACAGAATGTCCAATCTAGGAAAGCAGATGAGATTGAGGGATGGGAACCACCACAGATTACTGCTGCTGACTCTACCAGTGATGCAGCAAATACTTTAAGTGACTATACAGCCTGGTCAGGCTGGGAAGATGAAACCAAAGGCTCCACAAAATATACAAACCTGGCCAGCTCAGGAAACAGTTCCAGGTGGAGTATCAAATCAGCTGGAAAGCTGGTTAGTATTAGACGGCAGAGCAAAGGTAACCTTACTGACAACTGGGAAGAACTAGAATGATATTGGTAACGTGAAATACTTTATAAATAAGAGAAAGGTTCCATGATTTGCTTGTATGTTTAAACCAAAATCAAATCTGCTCAATATTGCACCTTTATACAGTACTTCGTTTTATTCAGATTGTTACAATTTTTGCTCACCTAATAGTGAATTTTCTTATTACATTGTTAAATATCTGTTTTCCACACTGAGAAAAGTAGAGAATCTATTTTGTGCCTATATTTCACATTCAGACTTTGCAGTATGTTGGATTGTTGGTTTTACCAAAAAAATGTAATTCCTTAATGAATGTATACACTGGTTGTAAATTTGACTGCCTTATGTAGGAACTTCCACTAGCTTGAGGTCCTGGGTTTTCTTCTGGTATTTGAGGGTCACTCAAAATTTTAGTTTTGATGCTGTCCCTTTTTTAATAAGAACAGTGATCTGTAGCTTGCGGGAAGAGTGCTTATACTTAGTACACTGTTTTCCAAATCTTCAGCCTCAGCATATGCTTCAGCTTGTGCACAGGAGATGCTCAACTGTCACAATGTGCTGTACTGTGTACGAAATGGGAAAATATTACTCTAATGTAATTCCTTCCATCATAGGAACTTCACCAAGAGTCAGGTCAAACGGGTCTTCCAAAGTTTTTATACTGAGCGTTATTTGACATAGCTAAAATTTTCAGTTTTTAAGAGACATGTCATGCCAAAAATGGAAATGTAAATAATTACTGAAAACCTGGCATAGAGTAGAGCATAAAATATCTCCATATTCAAAATCTGTAGTCCTGAATCTAGGGGTATGTTACTTCTTATGGAAGGGTGTATGTTCTCATTTTTACAAAAGCTGATTCTTGTTCTACAAATTTTTAGCTTTTCTTTTCCATAAGCAGTGATTGAATTATACTCTGGCATTTTCAGGATAACTGAGCCATTGCAAGTATGTGCATGCACACGACTTCTGAAGCATTTTTATTATAAAGCTCTGTCTTATTAGCTACTGATATTTTCATTTTTGGTAAAAGGGGGCAAAGTGTTGAACTTGAGATTTGAAATGTATATAGAATACTAAAAGTGCCTCTTTCTAGCATATTGTCTCTCGTTAGCAGGGTGGCCAATGTCAGATCTAAAACTAGATTTTGTTTATATGACCTATATAAGTACTACTTTAATGCTCATGGGAAAAGATCAATCATTAAAAAATGAACACTAGGACTTTTCTGTCCTGATTGTTAAACTGGTATAGCAGAACTGAAACTTGTTGACTGCCTAGCGATATGCCTAGTACAATGGGAAGATCAAATCAGCATTTCGGACAAAATCAACATTTTTACAAGAAAGCATATATCTTTATATGTAATGGACATCTTGTAAACATATTTTTATGAGAAGATTATGCTAATGAGAAGGGATGCATGCAATTTTCTTCTAAGCCTGTAGCTTGTTTCTGTTACTGCCTCATTACTCCTTTCTTAGCTCTCTCTCCTCTCTCTTTGGATTCATGTATGCTTTTCTGGCTTGAAGTTTCTGCACAGCTATTTGGAGTTTCCTCTCTAGATGGGCCTGGAGGGAAACTGTATCAAAGTGGGTTTTTTCTGTTTTAACAGGATGTTAAAAGATATTGTTTTTAAGTTATATAAAAGATCATCAGTGTTTGTGCTAGAAGACAGGATCTTGAAGCTGACAAAAGCTTTTATGAAATTGGCATTACATATTTAAAAAGATACTATTAGAGGAGAAAGGGTTAGCATTTGTATAGCATTATTTAGTCTGCTAGTAAAACATGTTCGCCTTTGGCAAGTACGTATGCTGAGGTTAATTATAGAAAAGAATTAGTATACTTGGGTGAGGTATGCTGCATTTTGTAGCTTATGGAATACCCTCTAAGGCATGAGCAGGTGTATAGTTTGGTTGTTGGTGCTGACCTAAAAGAATGGAAAAAGATCTGCTAGCAACCGTCAATATATTGCTCTCAAAGATGGGCTGAGAACTTTTTAATTCTCCTCCTGAAGTAACTATTTATACTGTGACCAGTAAAGGTTTTGCCTTGCACATTATACTGTCAAGTGCCTGTTTCTCACGTTGATGATGTGTTTGATGCACAGCCGAACTGCAAAATTCTTCAATTTGTTTTTAAATTTATGATAAAGCTGAAGGCTATTATAAAACAAAATTGCATCCAAGTGGGAAACTGGGATACGTATACTAAAGGTCTGACTCTTAGCGATGTACGTTTTGGTGTGCTTTTTAAGTGATATTTCCTCAGAAATAACCATTTTAAGGATGAACATTATATTAAATTTAATATAATTTATTGTTATGCTTTGGTAATGTATTTGTCTTTTGAGAACTCACTGGTGTGAGCTTTTCTCTTATGTTCATAAACCTGTTTGTTTGAATTTTCAGAATGGGTTCCTTTTTTCTTTTACCTTCTTTAAATGCTTAATTACATTATAGATTTATGGGCTTAAACTGTATGCAACTCCATATGTGGAATAAGTGTAAAATATGTCCCTTAATATTTGTTTTGAAATTGCATCTCAATCTTTATGAAGTGGTTTAGAAGAAGATAGCATTAAGATTGTATAATAAGATTGCACAAAATCAAATATAGTTTATATTGCTTTCTCGTAGCCAATCTGCATGATTGTTGGTGTGGTTTTAACGGGAATTAAAAGCTTCACGTGGCTGTAACTAGTCACTTATCTCTAAGCAAAGTTCTCTCTGGGTATTTTTATTTATTAGCATCATTTGCAAAAAAAAAAAAAAGTATTTTCCATATGAATAAAGATTTAGTTTGAACTGAAATGCCTTATTCTTTGATTTTTTTTTTTTTTTCATCCTCTTGCTCTCATGTGAATCTGTTTCTGTCTGCGTGGATCTCTGTTACTTACGTCATCATAGAATACATCCAAGGGAGCAATGGGTTTGTTTGTCTGAACTCAGTGAATCATGCCAGAAGCTGTAACCTCCTAGATTTAAAGCATCATTCATTGCTCTCGTAGTGGGAAAAATTTGTTGGTTTTGACAAACTGCAAATATTTTGTTTTACCGGTATTTGTTGGTTTAAACATTTTAAATTTTTTTTTATTTTTAATTTATTGGCAGTTACGACAGCTTGGACAGAGCAGCACTTCTAGTGTAAACGTGTCAGTAGCTACATGTAACGTGGGGGACCCTGGACTGCTTTTGTATGCACAGGCTCCCTAACGAGGTGACACCTCTGCGTCCTCGACTCTGACAACAAAGTGCAGCTGCCGCCACTGCTGCCAGCAGTTTGCATATAGAAAGCATATTTTCAGATTTGCATGCTTCCATTCTTGTTTACTGGCTTTGCTGTTGTCTAAGCAGACTTAGCAGGGAAAGCGTTTCCAACAAATGTTTTCTCTAATTCACACATTCAGATAAAAAGCACAAACTTTTACTTATACCAGTTACTTGAGGGGGAAAAAAAACCCCTGTTTGTTACATGCAGCGATGCCTCTGACTACTGGGCAGCTGAAGGGGAGTGGAGGGACGTACGTTTCCAGAACCTGGTTAGACCAGGAACCTGCCAAATATTGAACAGGGGTGAATCCCACAGCGCAGCTGAATTCTGCCCGACATCTATCTCTGTTTCAAAAACTTTTGAAATGCTTGTTACTGTGTATGAATGTCAGATGACAAAACTGTGTGTTCCACCTCTGTAACGAAAGTCTGAAAAGAACGTGGATACATAGGTTGTTTAGCTGCTTTTTGCATTTCTGAATTGTTCTCATCGAATTTTTTTTCCTGGATGCTTGCTGGCTGGATTTTGACATGTAGGTATCTAGAAAATGAAACCAGAACTATGAAGAAGAATAAGAATTTCCTAAAAGACTTTGTTGCGAGTGATAAAGTTTACAAAGGCTTGTATCCTTAAGCGTATGCCTGTCTGTCTCTTAAATATTTCTTGTAACGTGAGTGCTTTGTACCATAAAAGACAGGGAATTGAACAGGTAGGCCAAGAGTCCAAAGTTTAGAAATTGAAAGGAGGTAGTCACATTTATCGTAAGTGCAACCAGCATCATAGCAGAAAAACCCTGTTTGTTTTTTTCTATAGTTATAAAGTAATAGTGTGAAAAAATCAAAAAATAAGGATATAGTCATAGAGAATAATATGAAAATATATAAGAGTAAACCAAGTGTAAATATCCTGTGAAAAGCTATTGTCTGCTTACAACCCCTTGTCCGTGATCTTGAAAAAGTAGTATTTGTTTCTGCATTTGGAAAGAAAATTCTTGTCTAGTGTTTACTAAATGATGATGCAGGATAGCTAAAATATTCTTTTCAAATCTATAGCTATCTAGTAAAAGCTCGTCTGACACTTAAATTTTTAAGCTCTTGAGAGCTTAACAAGAGCATAACACCAATGAAAGCTTAATAACAGATTCTGAATATGAGGTTTATACTGGAAAAGAAAAGGTATTACACTTTGCAGAGAAAAATGCAAGGCTGTATTTCCTAAGACTAGTTTTGTCTACAGGTGAAAATAATTTAGGTTTTTTCTATCTGATTACTCTAAAACTTTGTATTGAGAAGACTAACTGAACAGTCCAGTTTTCCAAAGAGTAGACTGATTTGTGATTGTATACTAAAATAACTCAGATTTGAAACAGAACCATTCCCTTAAGTCAGCAACGCCTTTCTGCATTTATTATCTTGTACCTCTCTCCTTGAAAACTCCAAATGCTGTTGTTTGGAACATTTTGTTTGTCTGGCACTGCTGCAATTGCCTTGTAGTTTTTACTCTGCAAGACTACACTGCTAAATGTTTCTGGTATTGCAAAGACAGAGGAAAACAGTGTGGTATATTTTCATTCAAATATTGAATCTGTGCAGATTTAGCAGGGTGCATGTGTTTGTGTTGGAGAAAGGAAGGCAGACACGTGGATCCAAAATCTAAGTACAGTACTTAGTATTCTTTGCTGCTAAAGCTTTTCGATTTTTTTTATGTGCATGATAGTTAATATTAATTATCCTGTGCTCTGTTTTATTTTTGTGCTTGTCCCTAGCAGCAATTTTTGTCACATATGCAAAGACCTCCTCTCTGATTACATAAAGACCTAATGATGTTTGCTGTTTCTCTCATGATAGACACATTTTTAGAAATACTTGCATTCATTTTAATGCTTGTAAACAGTTTATCTTTTGAACATTTGGACAGAAACTTGGCAAGCAGCATTTGACAGGACAAACAAAGGAAAACAAATCAAGCATCATTTCCCATTAGGAAGTAAACTATTGTTTGATAGGATGAAGCACAAAATTTCCAAAACTGCCAGAACTCTAGACTAGAGATACAGTAACACGTCACACAATTATTTTGAAAATCTGAGACTTAATGAAACATATTTTTATTTATTTTTTAAACTATTGTACAACTAACTTTTGGGGTTCCAGCATATATAGAAAATTTGCCTTCCTCATGGCTTTAGGCCTATACTGAAGTTAGGTCAGGATTTAGGCCCTGTTGCTGCCTGTAATCTTTTGTCATCAACAACAACAGTATGTTGGTACAACCTAGGAAATTATCCTGAATCAGTATTGTGAGGGATTAAAAAAGCACCTTCAGGTCTTTATGTTAAAACAAGCTGAAAGATATTTAACAAAGGAGTTCTGTTAAGCCATGGTTTTCTCGGTTGTCTCCTGAATAGTACTATCCTTTCTGCATAGTGTGGCTGTCACACTGCCACCTGCAAGACCACACTTGCATGTTGAACTCAAACCATTGAAGCCAAAATGAATGGCCTAGCTGGCAGCTAAATTCATGGTGGAATATCTGAGCTCACAACTTGTGTAGCGCAGCTGGCTGGAGTGGGGACAGGGAGAAGATTTTTCCAAGACAAGTGAAGGGCCAGCTTTTCTGGCATCAGGGAATGAAGCACAAAATAGATACTCTGGGCTTTTTACTTCTCTTTGAGAATATTCTTGAAGAATGGGGATTTAGTGTTAGAGAATCAGAACTAACACAGAACAAGTCTTTTTTTCTAGTCTTTTTTTCTGTTATCCCATTCAAGAATGGGACTGTTGGCTGTGATGACCAATTGGAAAGAACAACAGTCAGTGTACAGGTACAAAATGCAGGTTTTGGATAGTTCTTCTGGGATGCTTTAATGGTGCCTTTAAGGTTGGTGCTGCACAGGTGATCATCACAAGTACTTGTCCAGACCTAATCTGTACCTACACTTATTCTAAATTAGGCTTAATTGATCAAAAGTGTAGAAGGTAAGTAAGTGGAACAGATGTAGAAGACTAGCTTTAAACATAGGCTCAAAAGAAGGTATATGATCAGCTTCCAGCAAAAACTAAAGTGGTGGTGGGATGAATCTACTGAAGGTTTAGTTGAATTCAACAGCGCCTTCTGGTTTTCTACTTCTTTAAGTAAGTACTGCAGCCTCCTCCCCTTCTTTGCTCTCTTCTCAGGTCTCCAAGACTTCTAAGATGAAGAGCTTTCTCTATCCTTCCCTCTCTTCCCTGAGATCCCTGGTTTCAGGGTCTTTCTTACTTGTAGTCTTTGTTTTCCTCATCTTAGGACATTTTTCTTCCCTTAAATCCCCTTCATACAAATGTATTGATCATGTGCCCTGGCTTTCAATTTTTTTCTTCTCATTCCTTGTTTCCTCTTAGACATGACCTAAATTTTCTAATCCTCCAAGAAAGATATAAGCCAAATTTTCTTTCTCTGCTTTAATTCTCAGCTGTCAAACAGTCTTTGAATTTCTCTTCACCATCACTGAGTGTGGGATTTTTTTTCTTTATTTGAACTGGTTTATCTCTTGACCAAGTAAACTCTTCCAACAGTTAATTTCTCATTAATTTTACTCTCCGTTGCCACGCCTTTTATGCCATTAACTGGGCCCTTTTTAAGCATTTGTCAAGCATAAGCATTAAGCATATGACTTCTGTTTTTTGTTTTTTTTTTTTAGTGTGCCTCAGATGGTTTTTGGTGATTCTGCATTAGTGCCACGATTTTTGTTTTGTGGGTTTTTCTCCCCCCTTTTATTAGATGAATGACATACTAGAGGTTGGATTTTTTTTTTTTTTTTTAATCATCTCCTCTACCTGTAAATCTCTCTTTTCAGGAAGCATTACTGAGAACTTGTTCATTTTGGAAAGGAAGAGAATGTGCTCTGTATGCCTAGGCTCCACCTCCTACTTTGAGATACCATGTTTTGAGCAATTGGAACCTGAAGAAGGGGTCCTTGTAGATGTACCAGTGGGGACAGCTCTTCAAAATATGTGTGTTAAGAGCTCCTTGTGCAGGACTAGATGACGCAGGTGCTCTGTTGTTCGCTATTCCTGTGGCTAGAAGGCATACCTGCAATGTGTTGAAGGCCTCACGTGGCCTTAACAGGGCCAAAGACACAGGCCTGTCTGTCAAAAAAAGAGGCCATGTTGTGTTTTATATAATGTGGCTAACTGGGCAGTGGAGCAACGCCAATGTGTTTATTGTTCTTCTCACTTTCGCCCAGTGAGCGTTTAAGCGTCATGTTTCAGCGTAAGGAGAGGAGAAGGGCTGCAGAACATTGAGGATCAGGCCATACACCATAGTGCTCAATAAGGAAATACAGCACAGCTGCAGGCTGGAGGATGTAACTGAAAAGCTGCTGCGTTGTATTACAGGATATTTACTTTTAGTGCCTTTTAAAAATACTACTTTTTTACACTAGCAAAAAGTTCTAAAGGGATACTGTCATGTTAAGAAGGGGACTACAGCTTTACAACTTTAAAAGTCTCTGATAGGAA